CCACCCCGCATGTATGAGGGGTCGGTGCGACGCTCTGGTGGCATTGCTACCCCCAGGGCCCCCGTCCCGCTTAACCCTGGAGCGGTTGACCACGAGATCTAGCCCTTTGACTTTGCACGGACGGGCTTCGAACAGTGGACATCTCCACCCAGTTGTGTCAGGTCAGCTCAGAGGGACACCTGGGAGAAACATCCTGGCCAAACCGATAGCTACATCCCCTCCGTGTAGACCTGATGCAGTCCGTTTCCCCCCTCCAGGTGCCAGCGATGGCGCCATCTGTTAGGGGGGCCACGCCCCAAAGATGCGTGCCGCCTTTTTGGACATGCCACAACACCACTCGGTTGTGGTAGGTCATCCCATAGAAACACTTGGGAGCAACGTCCCCTCCGTTTTGACCCGATGCGGCTGTTTCCGCCGTCCGTGAGGGGGGCACACCGCGGACGTGAGGGGGTCACACTCCGGAGACGGGTGCCGGGTGTTTTCAACCACCACTAAACTTCTGTGGGCATAGCTGTTTTTTATTTTAATAAAATATAAGGACCTATATTCAAAAGAACATGACGGCACATTATTAATGTGCTCGAAAAAAATACAATATATATATATATTCATAATCTATGGAAAAAATTACAAACTACATATATATTCATATAATACATAAAAACATATGTAAAAAGAAGCATGTAAAAAAATAATTGCCGTCGGCATAGAGACGACAGGGTTTTGGTGGGCGCAATGCCGCGGATCGGTGACGTGGCGCCTATGCCGACCGCTGTCGTCGGCATATCTACGCCGAGGATCGGTGATATGGCATGCGAAGATATGCCGACGGCCGCCCGTCCCGACCGTCGGCATAGGTTCGACGACCTTAGCCGCTGGTCACGGCCGGGGTCTCCGGACCCACACGTATGCCGGCGGCTGATGTCTACGTGTCTGCATCTAGGTCGACGGTCGTTCTGTGCCGATAGCTGCCGTCGGCGTAGATCGGTGTAGCCCGCGGCCAGGATAAGCCGACGGCCAGGACTAGGCTGTCGGCATAGCTCGAGGTAGGCCAACGGCTGCCGTAGGCATAGTTCTGGCCGTCGGGGTAAGACAGTTTTCCGGTAGTGAACCAATGAAGAAATATCTTTATACACAGGAGTAGGGCTGAAGGGCATTTACAACTTTAGGGATCGAACGCCTCGGAAAAACAACTTTAGGCACAAAAGAAAGAAAAATGAAGGGAAAAATAGTCGACGCAACCTGCTCCTCCACCCTCAACGCCATGGCGGGAAGGGGAGAAATGGACTCAGAGCTGCTTGAAGCCGAAGCGCATGAGGAAGAAGCAGAGCCTTCCCACCACCACCACGGACTCCACCAGCCACATCAGGTGGTACACCACCTGCTCCCACAGGACGGCCAGCGCGTTCACGCGCGACCGCCACCGCAAAATGGCCAACAAGAAGGCGCTGGCCCGGGACTTCGAGTGCGCTGGTGGCGCGCCGCCACCAGTACTGGTATCGTTCCCACTCCCGCTAGGCGCCCCGCTGGAGCTGCTCCAGCTCTTAGTCTCCGCCTCGCTCGGCAGTATCGGCTGGGACGCCCCGATCTCCTTGCTCCGGCGCCTGGCCACCCCGCTCTCCTTGCTCCAGCACCTGGCCGCCGACTTCCTCGGCGTCGTACGCTTCCGTATCCACTCGGCCACCTTCCCGCGCGCCATGAAATCAATCCAAGCTGATTGAACGAACGATCTCGACAGGATCGAGTGAGTCTCGGTTGCTTCTTGTTGCTTGTCTAATACAGCTCTGCACTGCACGTCTGACCTCCTCCTCGTCTCGCCCGAGCTTTATATGTTGCGACGCCAACGCAGTGGGCGAGCGAGCTGACGATGCCGCCAGTCTGAGTGCGTGTAGACTACGTAGTACCTACAGGTTCATGGATGGAAATGGACAGGAAGATGCGAAAACAAACAATAACACGAGCTAGACAGACGATTCCAGGTCAAACGGAGGCCTGGTCGATCAGTAAACAAATGCCTGTTGAGGCTGACGGCTCTGGGGTTTGCTTGGAAGATTCTGATCTGGAAAACGGCTGGAAGATTCTGATTCTGATCTCAAATGTTGGATTAATTAATTAAGATGTCTCGTTAGTTAGTTATACTTAGTTTAGCTCCCCACGCATTTTTTAGTTTAGCTCATTATTGCAGAGTATATGCCGCCGTGGTGCTCAAATCTGAATTCTTAGGTTGGTCAATTGGTTCGTCATCTCACCCGTACTATAACATTGTTTGTTTGACACTGATGATGACAGGAGGGATGACGTTAAACATGCAAGTGGATAATTGTATGATTGTCCTTTTTTGCTTCTAGAAACTCATTGTTCTTTTTTGCTTCTAGAAACTCAGCGTTGATGGGAATGAGATGATGCGATGCTACCTGTTACATGTGTGTGTCAACGGGGAACCACATCATGACAGCAAGGTGTTGATTCCGTCAATTTTGTGTGTGTATGTGAAAGAGAGAGCACCACAACTAACAACACTTCAAGGGAGAGGCGACGCGATTCGTTGGGGCCGAGGGTTGACCGGTCTCCTCTGAGTTCAACAAAGTTACACTGAAAGTGAAAACCAAGGCCTTCCTGGATGTGGGATGGGTGTCCAACTTTCTTCGTCGCCTTGCTCTTCAAAATGGTGATTTGATCTCGTATCTTTTTTTTAGAACGAAGACGCCAGAGACGTCCGGCTTTAAATTAATAAAACACACAACATAGCAGCATACTAAAGATTAGAACATAGTTTGAACAACACGAACCACACCAAGCGAGAATCGGCCCCAAAGATAAGGTGCGTTATAAGGCTAAAGGAGCCAACAAAAGAGCAGGCAGGCTCAAATGGAAACACTTCCAAAAAGGGCTGCCCCTCCCTAGGTAGCAGCGGCGTCGGGCGACGGATCTCTGGCCAACGAGTAGACGGAGCGGAGGCGGACGACCGCGTGGCGATGTAGATCAGCGTCCTCATGTCTTTCCAGCGGAGCCCACTGCTGTAAGAAAATGATGCATTTATAAACCACGTCAGCGGGGTGAGAAGGAAAAACACCCTCAACAGTAAACTTGTTGCGAGTGCGCCAGAGAGCCCACAACACTGCCGCCGCGCATGTCCACAAGATACGGTGAGGGGAGCCGTGGACCGAGGACAACAATGACACTAGCTCTAAGCGGGAGCGAGGATCCCAGCTAACGCCCGCCGCCTCCCGGACCGCACTCCAAGCGAAGCGTGCTAGAGGGCATCGAAAAAACTCATGATCCGCATCTTCAGGGGCGTCACACAGCGCGCAGGGACCTGAAGCCGGACCATTGCGTTTAGCTACATTAATGGAGGTGGGGAGGCGATTGTGGCACAGCTGCCAGAGAAAGACCTTGATTTTAAGCGGGATGCGAGCCTTCCAGAGCCCCGTTGCAGCCTGGAAAGCCGGGCCGCGAGTTAGCTCACGGTAGAGCGAGTTGACCGTAAACTTGCCAGAGCCCGTGAGCCTTCAAGACACCAAATCCCTATCCGCAGACAGGTGTACCTCAGCTGACAAGGTACACAAGCGGTCCCAGCTGGCCACCTCAGGCCCTGAGAGCTCCCTTCTGAAGAAGATAGAAGGCGGGAAAGTGTTGAAGGCCGTGGCCACTAGTTGATTGCGATCAACGGCGATGGCATAGAGGTCAAGAAACTCCGACCAGAGAGGCTGGTGGCCAATCCAAAGGTCGAGCCAGAGTCGCATGGAGCGACCGTTTTTAACCGAGAACTTCGCCCCTCTGGCGAAGTAAGGTTTCAGAGCTTGGATGGAGTTCCAGAAAGGGGATCCGTTGCCTACGGCCTCAAAGAAATTCCCCCCGGGAAGTATTTGGTGCACAACAGGTCCATCCAAAGGCCAGTCTCGCCCTGAGACATCCTCCAGATCCATTTGCACATGAGCGCGATGTTCATCAACCTCGAGTTGATGATCCCGAGGCCCCCCTAGGCTTTGGGACGACAAACCGCCAGTGACTTAACAATGTGGTATTTTCATTTCGTCCCTGCCCCTTCCCAGAAGAAGAGAGCCCTTGGGGTATCCATTTTGGTGTGAACCCCGTTCGCCAACAGGAACAAACTCATGGCAAACATAGGCAAGGACGAGAGGCTGGAGTTGGTTAGGATTAGTCTTGCCCCTGAAGACATGAATCTCCCTCTCCACGGGCAAACTCTACCCGCCACCTTAGTGCAGAGAGGGTCCCAATCTGAGATGAGGCACTTTTTCTCAGTTATTGGGAGGCCAAGATAGGTAAATGGTAACTTCCCCAATTTGCAGTTAAGCAGGTTAGCTACACGAGAGCCTTTTGTCTCCTCCATCCCTATGGACACAACTTCACACTTGTGAAAATTGATTTTGAGGCATGACATAATCTCAAAGCACAACAACACCGCCTTGACCGTTGCGATGCTGTGCGAGTCAGGCTCAAAAAGGAGAAATGTATCGTCTGCATACTGCAGGTCCGACACACCCCCCGAGATCAAGGTTATGGTCACTCCCCTGATGTGGCCAGCAACGCGGGCTTGATCTAACATGGCACCCAGGGCATCTGCCACGAAGTTAAAAAGCAATGGGGAGGCCGGATCCCCTTGACGCAGCCCACGTTTGTTGCAGAAGAAATTCCCTACTTCTCCGTTCACCGCAATCACAGTTTGGCCCCCCAAGACCAATTGCAAGCCAGGCCGACGAGAAGCCTCTATCCAAGAGAACTTGCCGCAGAAAATCCAGTTAACTCGATCGTACACCTTCTCGAAATCTAGTTTCAGAAGGATGGCTGGGTGGTGCGAGCGTTTTAGCGAGTGCACGATCTCTTGCAGGTCGAGCGGCCCCTCCAAAATACTGCGGCCTTTGATAAAGGCCAACTGACTCCTACTAATAATGCGTTGAGCTACCGGAGAAAGACGCGTGGAGCAAGCTTCAGCACAGATTTTGAACGGAACATTAATGAGAGCTGTCGGCCTATACTGCCTAATGCTGTCCGCACCACGGGCAAAAACTCTGCTCCTTTGTAGGTAATTCTTTGTTGTAATGCATAGACCTAGGAACCAGACTAAAACGCCTTGAGTAAGGCATGGGTCCAGTGTGGGTCACCCCTGGTGGCCCTGTGAGTTGTAACACTATAAACTTAACTGTTGTATTACTTCTGCCCCTCAAGTTCAATGAAAAACTGCGCTGACATATTTGGTGGTTGAGCTACCGGAGTTGTTTACCGCAGCCTGTTGGTATATTTGGTGGCAATGGAAACATTTTGTGCGGGGTGAGGAGGTGGCCTCTCCAGCGCGAACGGCCGTAGCAGTGGCAGCCCTATCTCTTAACTATGCCCGTGGAGCACAAACAAAAATGACACCAAAAGTGAACACCTGGCCGGGGTTTTTCGCTGGTCAGATAGTCATTAACGTCGATGCGTCATTCAGAGAAGGAGATTATGCAGGATCTTGTGGAGTGGTCATCCGTGACTATCGTGGAAATTTCATGTCTGCAGCGACAACAACACTCGATCATGTACCCGATGTTGAGACAGCTGAAGCTGCGGCTATATTAGAAGGAATGAAGCTAGCAAAGGAAACAGGGTGCCATAATGTCATAGTAAGATCAGATAATATCACGGTGGTGGAGGCACTGAAGCTGAATGGAGGCTATTCTATGGTGGCAGCGCCGGTGTTGGATGAATGTCGCAGTTATTTCGAAGATTTCAGGAAGTTTACTATTGAGCATTGTATTAGAGAGTCGAATAATGTAGCTCATGAGTTAGCATGTTGGGGTCGTGCCAATAATCCATCTCGGTGGGTTCATGACCCGCCTGGTTTTATTGTAAATCTTTTAGCAGACGATGTTGCTATCCTTTGATTAATAAAGTAAACTTTCCTGTCAAAAAAAACTGCGCTAACAACTTTTTTGTCAAAAAAAAATTCCGTTGTACGCGCTAGTTTCGTACGTGGTCTATGCTACACCGAACAAAGTATCAATCTTTATTCAAGATGGTGTGTATGCGGCTGGAGCGGATGGGCAGGGTGGTTTTCACCGAACATGGGTGACAGCGTAATCTACGGATCGGTCGACCACCTCCTTAGACATAGGCATAGTGTTGGTCTTTTACCACTTTATTTGTGCTAATATGTTGGGGTTTTTTTTTCTTCCTTGTGTCATACTGTCCGTAACGGCTGTGTGCACTCTAGTTTTGCGGCCAGTTGTTACTTATTATACTTTGTATCCGCTTGATGCTATATTTTAAATTAATAAAAACGCCTTTTATCAAAAAGTTCGCTGCCACTGCCATGTCTGACTTCGATTGACAACTCACCGGCCGTTACTTTGGGTCGGGAGTTGCTCACGGCACACCAGGATGAGTGCTGAAAGAAATATGCCAACAATATACCCCAAAACGTGTATGTGTGGTTTATGTTTATATTAATAGTTGGGCAACTTTTTTTAGTGAATAGTCGGGAAACTTTAGTATATGGGATTGGCCTTGTCCAAAAGAGAAAAAATCGAAGCTATAATGGAGGAAAAAGCAAAGACAGAAGATAAAAATCCAAAAGACAAGATATGCACTTCCAAGGAATGGGCCGCGCCACTGAGCTGCTAGGCTAGGCACCGTCTGTGGGATGCAACGGTAGTACTCCCTCCATCCGAAAAAACTTGTCGACAAGCTTTTTCGGACCGAGGG